GCTCTTTCAGGGTCAGGGGAATGAGACCCATTTACTGTTTTTGGCATATCGAATACACGACAAATAACTTGCCAGGCTCTGCCATGCAGGCCAGATACTCTCAGTAGCTTGCCGGGCTCTCTGAGAGGGATAGAGGCTTTTGGGCAGCCTCTAATCACCCTTGCAGGTGTTCCCATGGTTCAAACTATATTTTAACCACATCAAATATGGTGTGGTAATGAAAAATGGGTATTAAGTGTCTTATGATGTGTTACAAGATGGTCAGACTTCTTCATCAAGACCCTGAATGAACAGTTTGAGGCTCTTCGTGTTCCTGGAGCGAGCAGAGGCCATTGGGCTACACTAGCATGGATAAGGGACAAATGAGACGTTACTGTATGGCTTTGTGCAATTGTTTCTTTAAAAATCATGTAAAATGTTATTGACAAACATCTTGGGAAGATCCCATGTGAAGAAAGGAGTTCAATTAGTTTTGGGGGGGGCTTTCTGTTTGGTTTGGTTTGGTTTGGTTTGGTTTGGGGGTCACATCCAGCTTCAGGATTCACGCCGGGCAAGGATCCAGTGACTATACAGGTGCTGGGAAATGAACCTCTGTCCACCACGTGCGAGGCTTGCTCACTGTACCATCTCTCTAGCTCATAACTTTAAACTTCTTGATTCAGAAAATTCTCTGACCAAGTTTAAAATAAACTTTGAAAACAAATTCTTCCTGACACTCTTCAATAAAAACAAATGCACCTAATGTTTGCTATCTCCCTACTATTCTTATGTTTAATTTTGCACTCTGATCTCTTTTTATCTCCCTCCTCCTTGTCATGTACTCCTCTCACAGGCTTTTATTACAGATTTTGCAGTCCCTGGCAAGTACTGCTTAAACTCTCTTTTGAATTCTCTCATCTGATGTGCGCATCACCTACAAATATAACTCTCTTCTTATTATTCATAATTGGCAAATCATCCTATTTTCTGAAAGCTACTCTTACTCCCTTAACAATAGTTTCAAGGCAGCAATTTCTTGGAGGGTGAAGCTTATAGCTTAAAGATAGTAACACAGTATTCTTTCCTTCCTCTTTTTTAAAAATTTAAGATGAAACCAAATTTTCTGCTGTGAAGTTAAGAAATTAAAAGAATCATCTGAAAGATTTCAAAAATTACCATCAAACCCACGACTACATACCATATCTTGGAGTTGGGTTTCCTCAATTTTTGGTATTTAAAACATGGAGCAATAATGTGTTACAGTAAAAGAGTCAAAGATTTTAGGTAAACTTATTCTGGGGTTGCCTGCACCCCAACTTATGGTGCATAATCAGAACTCTTTTCTCTTAAGTTGGCTCTCCTCTCTCACATTTTCAAAACAGTACTATTTTGCTAAAAAAGAAAAAAGCCAAGGGTTTTAGAGGTTGAAATTGGTTTTTCATCCAAGTCCCAAAGCTTTCTATGTGACCCTGAAACAACTAATTAATCTCTATTTTCCTCAGTTTTCTTACATGTAAAATGTTAAAAAGATTCATAAAGATTATCATGAGATAATCATAGTGCCTTATGCACAGCATTCACTAAGTGCGAGTTCACTTGCTCAACCATTTGCTTGTGTAAATATGAACGGGAGAGGCCGGAGCGATAGTACAGTGGTACTTGTCTTCCATGCAGCCAACCTGGGTTCTATTCCCAAAACTCCAAATTGGCCCTCGGCCCATCAGGTCTGATCTCTGAGCACAGAGCCAAGCATGACCCTTAAACCAAAAACAAAAAGAACTCAAGACATTCATAAATGTCATTAATTTGTAGTTAACTTATAATCAAAGTTCCTGTCTATAAAACTATTCTGGCCTACTCTTACAATATAAAAAGGAATTAATCAAATTTTTAAAATATAGATACATGATATATAATCCATGTGATGCTTCAAATAATTTGGATACGTAAAAGAATATTTGGTGAATGGGGGACAATTATTGACCCAAAGTCTTAAAAATGTATGAGATAAAACCACACAACAAAAAAAGATCTACATCCCCCAAGATTTTAAAAGACTCTAACAAACAACAGCAAGCATAGAACTGGTTGATGATTAGTCAAGAACTTGTTTTATATCTATTTATCTATCTATATGTATTTATCAATTTTGCACTATTTTACTATAAACATAACCTTTTCCCTTCCGTTCCCTTTGTTGTTCAATGTTATTATTTTGGTTGTGCCAAATGTAACACACTTGGTTGCAGTGCACGTGGGGTTTCACATACTTGAAAACTAGCAGAGTTGGGATAGAACTAGGCAGACTGGGGGGCAGTACTAGAAATGAACCCACAGTCTCACACCTCCTGGCAGTCAACCCTACCACTGAGCCACACTGCCTGCCCTAGACTGAACTGCCTAGAAGTATATCTACTATGTAGACTGAGGAGAGTCCACTTTGCTGAAAATTTTATAGAAGAAAACTCCATTTCTTGTGGACCTCATGGTATTTGAACTGACAATATATAAAATAGCTGAAATCAGCCTGCAACTGTAACTGACATTCACAGTGCTTTTCTGTATTAGTGCAACAAATTTCTTCACAATGTTGCAGTCAAGTCAAACCATTCATGTTTTTCAACAGTAGACATGATATTTTCTAATAAAACACTTATTCCTGCTTGACAGTAGATGAGATTTTTATAGAAAGGAGCTGTGGACTGTGGAAAGTAGGACTGGCCTCTACACTTTTTTCCCCTCTCCCTTCCCTTTATTTTTGTTGTATTTTTGTGATGTCCAGTAACCACACATTTAGTCGTATGTAGTGCTCATTGTGGCCCCAACAGCAGTACCAACAGGATCACACTCCATGAATCGATGGTGTGGGTGAGTGCTGGGCCTCAGACGGCATAAAGCAGGTTGCTGTCCCACTTGAGTCACATTCTAGGGCCCCGGCTCACACTTTAGTCTTCCTAAAGTATCTCAACTCCTAAAGAAGTCTCCTAACTCATATGTTGCGTTCTATATACTCTCCCCAAATCACCTATAAATAGATGTAAACAAACAAAAACAAACACTGTCCTCCCGTTGTTCATCGATTTGCCCAAGCGGGCCCATTGTGAGACTTGTTGTTACTGTGTTTGGCATATTGAATATGTCACGGGTAGCTTGCAGGCTTTGCCGTACAGGCGAGATACTCTCGGTAGCTTGTCGGGCTCTCCGAGAGGGGTGGAGGAATCGAATCCGGCTCGGCCAGGCTGACTGCACGCAAGGCAAATGCCCTACCACTGTGCTATCACCCCAGCCTGCAAATAGATGTAAAAATATCAATATTTATTCTGCTTTTCAAAATACCACAGATTGTCCAAGTACTTGGCCATTGCTGAGATTTTTACCACTCTTCATAAAGCAATTCCTTCTATCTAACCTCTTTTCCAGTTCTGATGGTCTGGAACACTCCTAAATCTTATGTCTAGATAGGCAGCAAGTTACAGCAGAAAGAGCATAGGATTTGGAATCCTAGCTGTGGCATTAATGAAGTAAATGAACCTGAGTAGCTTCATACCATTGCCTGAGTGTCTGTCTCATTTTGGAGAGTTTTGGGGGAAGAAGGAGGCAAATCTCGCAATGTTCAGCGGCAACATTCCTCACTCCATGGGGGGGGGGGAGGGGGGCAGTGATCTTCCTGACAGCACTAATGAAACCCAGGCCTCCTGCCTAAAAAGTACCCCTATTAGAACCCATAAAAGCACATTTGGCTTTTGAAACCTTTCAAGGAAAGTTCTTCTGTTTCAGAAATGTATTGAATTGAGTGCTCATAAATTGAGCCCTACTACAAGTAAATATATAGTCTCTGTTATTAGGAAACTAAGAAAAGCACTGTTTGTAAATGCCAGTCCACATAAGAGATGTCAGAGGAGAGTGTATGACTAGAAAACAAAATGTATGGCTGAGAGTGTTGTCCATCCAAGCTATTTATAACTGCAGGCAAAAGTAGCATCAAATTTACTGCAGAAAAGGGAAAAAAGTGTCAAGTGCAGACTTTCTCCAACTAAGTCATTATGTGAAGGCTGAGAAAATTTTGAGAGGACATTTTGTCACTTTCCTGCATAAAACTCATCCAAATGCAAACACTGTCCTAAAAATATAGCAACTTTTTTCCCACATGGCTTGTGAGAAGCTTCCTTTCTTCTAGCCCCTTCTGTCCCTGTGAACTACACTGGTCAGTAAGGTCCCATGTGGCTACTGAATACTTGAAATGAATCTAGTCCAAACAACAAAACAATAAATATAAAATACGCATGGAATTTCAAAGGCTTAGTTGGGAAAAAAAAAAAGAACAGGAAAGGTAAGCTATCTAGATACCTTATTAGCCTTTATGTCGATTACATGGTGAAATATTAGCAATAATAATACGCACTGCTCAAATAAAATTTGCTAGCTTAAATTTACTGTTTTTAAAGCTGAATACAGAAAATCTACAACTGTACCTCATGGTGTCTCACTAATAAAAATAAAAAATAAGAATAAAAAAACATAGAACGCAGCACGCATTATGTTTCTGCTGGGCACTTGGAAGTCTGATTGCATCACCTGCAGTTATTCCTCAACTGTTCACTGAGGTTTTCTTTTTCTTTTTTCCCCTCGTTTTAAACCATCACTATGGGTTAAAGCGTCTCCCCCGTAACCTGTCCCCCCCGCGAGTCTGGACAGAGGTGTCCCAGGGAACGCACCCAGGAGCTCTAAAACAGCATGTGCAAGGGCCCACGTCTGCACGGGGCATTCTGGAATGCAAGCTCCTCGCAGGGACAGAAACTCTCGGATCGGGCCGAGCGAGAGGGCCGCGTGTGAGCACTGAGCCCCTGAGCCCCCTGAGCGGGGAGGGGACGGCGGTGGCGGTGGCTGCGACCCAGGCCGCAGGGCCAGGGGCAAACGGGATCACGAGAACCCGGGGGATGGAGGTGGGGGGGGGGGGGGGGAGGCAGGCCCGGCAGCCAGAGTCCCACCGAGAGCACGGAGTCACCAACAGCAAGACTCACCAGACCACGGTCGATGTCCGCGTCGGAGCGTCGGGGCGAGTGGGGCGCGTACTCGGGGTAGCGCAGCCCCTCGGCGGAGGGGGCGACGCCGCCACCCGCAGCCATGGCGATGCGGCCGGGCCGGACTCCGGAGCGCTGCGCCGCGGCCTACGGGGCGCCGCCGGGACAAAATACTTAGGGCCGGGCCCCTTCGCGCCCGCCGCCGCGCTTTCCACCGCCGCGGGCCTGCCCCGGAGGGCGGGACCCAGACACGCGGACGGTGGCCCGCTTCTGACCCCGACGCAGACCCGCAGTCTTAAAAGCTGACACCTGCCCAGCACCGAGTCAGGGAGGTATTTTGCTTGCTCTCAAGGCAAAATTGGAGCCTCTCTGGGCTGGACTCGGCCTGCCCCAGCGGATCAAACGGAGAACTAGAGATTTTGCTAGTGCTGGGGAGCACACCGGGAGATGGATGTTTAGGGATGACTCCTGGCTCTGCACTATGGAATTACTCCAGGCGGTGCTCCCGGTGCCAAAGGAGATACTGGGGATGGAAGCTGGGTCTGCCCCTCCCTGCAAGGCCAGTGTCCTACCCGCTGTGCTGCAGGGCCCTGTTTTACGTTCTAACATGTGAGACCTGGCAAAGTGAGTGGCTGAAGACGTGGGACTCACACTTGCCCTGTCTTCCCAGCCATCAGCGGGAAGAGGCAACAGGAGAGACGATGACCCGCTTTCTCCACCCGACCCTGCCTTCCTAGGAATGGCAATAGGCGTTTTAAGATGAAATTACCATGAAGGAAGTTGTAAAGCATGTAAAACCTCCCTTCACCCCAAATCATTTTACCTGGTGATCTAGACCAAGAGCCCAGTTTTATTTTCAATTCTTAACTTGTGTCCCTTGGGGAGCTAAAATTAATCAACATGTGAAACCCATATCGTGTTTTCATGACCCGTTGTACCAGCTTGGCAGCTCTTTTGCCCTTTGTACACATTGCAAAAGCTGCTTACAAGGACTTACAAGGAGAACATTATTTGGGTGTGGGTTTTTTTTTTTCTTCTTGGTACCTTAATTTAAGTTTCGAGGGTCATTTACTTATTTAGTTGATGTTATTAGCAAGCCTAAGAGCTTAGAGCCTGGAGGTATTTATAATCTAGTAGGAAGAGAGCACTGACACAGAGAGATAATGTAAGACAGAACCTTTTCTCCGGCCCCTGAGAAAGACACAGGAATAAGCAAGTTGCAGCTATAAGGACTTCTCAGTAATTGATTAACTACAACCTTGCAGATGCCAGTGAAGAATTTAGGGAACTTTTCTGTGATTTCATGAGCAGCTTTCCTCCCTTCCAGGAGCTCTTGGTGGGAATTTCTGCAACAATCCTAGCTCCACAGTTGCCTCAGACATCTGTGCCTTCAGCAGCAGCCATTTTGGGGTTGGTTTTTTGTTGTTGTTGTTTGTTTTTTGCTTTTGGGGTCACAACTGGCGATCCACGGGGGGGGGGTCTACTCCTGGCTCTGCACTCAGGAATTACTCCTGCAGTGCTCAGGGGACCATATGGGATGCTGGGAATCGAACCCGGGTCAGCCATGTGCAAGGCAAACAACCTACCTGCTGTGCTATTAGTCCAGCCCCAGCAGCCATTTTTTGAGAAAAATCTTCTATAAAATCTATTCAGGTCTTGGCATACTCCATTACCAGCTCATAGTGTATAACTTCTCTTCCCTTTTCTTTATGGATCTTAGTCACTGTCTCTGTTAATCTCTGTCTCTGTGTGTCTCTCTTTATCTCTGTCTCTCTCTCTCTTTTTCTCTTCCTCTCTCCCTTCTCCCCTCCCTCCTTTTTCTCTCTCTTCTCCACTTACCTAAATAAAAATATATATTTAAAAAAAAATACCTGGTTCCTTCTTTGCTAAGGTCATCCTTACAGACAAGGAAAGGATGGAAAAAGCAGCAACTAAGTCCTCTGTCTCCCCCAGAGATGACAGCTGAACTCACCTGTCTGGCTTCCCTGAAAACAAAGAGGAATAATTTTTTGTGAAGCTCAAAAGGGAAGCCACATTAAATTTTCATCGGCCTATTTTTATTACTTATACCACTTCAGAGACAGATTACATTATGTTCAATAAACCTTGTAAAAGAAAGCAGATGCTAGCAATACATTTTTGAAACATCCTCAGTTTTAAAAAAGAATTAACTGTGTCTTGTTCACAGGATTTGGGGCCAGGACTGGGAATGTGACTCAAGTGGGAATATTACTGTGAAGCTGGACTTAGGTCTGTTGTGGAGATAGTCTGTGTAAAATTACAGGACTCCAGATGTTTATGATGTTGAAAGTTCTTTATTGTACAGTTTAAGTAGGTAGGACTATGTCCCTCTGATGTCTAGTGTACAATATCACTTTGTCCTTTTCCGGCGCCTTTCCCGGCGCAGGACCTGTGCCCTGCCGTTTTCCTGGTCTGAGCTCTGCTGTGTCTTGTCTCTGGGACTCCAGTGCTGCCTCTCAGGTCCATAGCCCCATGATCCGCCCCCTCCTTTAGTTTTTCTTTGTTCTCCAGCCCTATGCACATGGGTGAGAAATGCTGCTTTTTCTGTCCTCTGCCACTGTGCAGGCCAGGGGTCAATGAAGCCTGACCTGTGTTCCCCTTTTAAGTGTTTGCTATCTCCATTCTTTGGTAACTTCCTTGATCTGTCTGACAGGCTCTTCCTCAAATAGTTGAGGTTTTAAATGACTGAGGGGCTAGAGTAGAGGGGTTAAGGTATTTTGTTTTTTTGCCTTGGACAGAGTCAACTCCAGTTTGATGCCCAGCACCACATACGGTCCCTGGAGCACAATCAGGAGTTGATGTAGGCGGACCCCACAGGTGACTCACGTGAGTCAGGAGGAGAGAAAGATGGTCACTTTCTCCCGATCTGCCTCTGCCATCCGGGACCCAGGGTTACTCAGTTCTTGTTTCACCTCGCAGAAAAGAATTTCAGGAGTAGACAAGCAGTGAAGTAAGACAGATTGTATTTGGAGGTTTTGAAGGGAAGGAGGGAGAGGAAGTGAGAGAGAGAGTGGAGAGAGAGTGGAGAGAGAGAGAGAGAACACGGGCTTCTCTAAGGGTGGAGAGAGCCCCTAAACACATCCCAACATTAGACAGGAAAACATGAAAGTACACATCTCAAGAGGGGAGATACAGGCGACACATGTGCTCAGGCACCACATGTGCTCAGCCACATGAGCGCAAGCAGCACATGGGCTCAGGCAGCATATGCGTGCCCTACCTTTGTTCAAGAAGGCTTTTATAGTCTCTTCTGAGATTGTCTTGATCTGGAAGTTCTGGAGTCTTCTCGGGGCTGAATCACTAGTTAATTGGATTAAGAGAGATGTCTGAGTGTTTGAGGAACTTCACGGAGAGAGGATCCAACCTCTTCAGGGTCTGCTGCTGAAGGTCTTATCAGGTCTCTCTTTTCTGTATCCACAGGGTGGATCAGTCTTAGAATTTTCCTTCCAGAGGTTTTGTTGACCTAAGTTTCATTGCTGAGGGTCTTTCCCTGTCTACCTGCCTACATCAGAGAGCCCTAATCACAGAGCCGGGAGTAACCTTGAGCAATGTTAGGCATGGACCCCAACATTTTTAAAGACCAGTTGAAAATGAATAATTGTGTTTAACTAGCTTGCCTGGCAATCCAGTCCCTCATTCACCTCTACCTAACAACAGAGCATCTGCCTTGCATGTGTGAGACCCCCAGATTTGATCTCTGGCACCACATGTTCCTGCCCCCAAGAAATACTGGGACCCAGAACACCACCAGTTTGGCCCCTACAATTAACAACAACAAAGGGATTCTTGGCAAAGATATCAGTTGTGCCTCAGTTTTCTCATCAGTAAAGTGGAAGCTAATAATAGCCTCTCCCTATGCAGATGAATTAGTTGATATTAGTAAAGCTTTTAGAGCAGTACTTGATCCTGTAAGAGAGCAAATCTTCTCCCTCCAAATTGTGTCTCTTTGGCATAAGGTATATTTCAATGGAAGAGCTCTGAAGGTGTTGGACACGAAGCGGCCTAAGAACAACTCCATTTTGCCTGCCCCTGATCTGTCTTGCTTTCTTAAAACGCGGCTCTTACCCCTCCCTGACCCTCTGTAAGGGAAGGATATCTGGGTTGAAAACTCAGCCTTGACAAATAGTTTCATAACCCAAACATCAGAAGCCACCCTGACGTGGGCAGGGGATGGGTAACCATCAGATTGTCCTGGAAAGTGTCCAGATGACCTGTCCGTGACTGTTTGTACTGTCTGAAATCATGTTTCCTTTTGAATTAATGAAACTTGCATTTTTCACTTATGTTTTTGTTTGAATTTATAAGCGTGGGCTATGACGTAAGCACTGACTATAAAACCTGAAGCATCTCTCTTGCTCAGGGTCTTGCTCTGGCCTGCGTGCCTGAGAGCTTGACCCCAGTTAGCTGGCTTAGATAAACTCTGCCTGTGTTTTGCATTACTGGTTGGAGTCTTTGTGTGGCTCAGAGAGGAAGAAATTATCCACCCCAAACCCTAACAAAGGCAAATGAGATCTTTTTTTCCTGAGACATTTACAAGAAATGTGTATGTACATATGTGTAAAGAAAATGTCCCAGCAAGGCACTTCCTCACTGTATGGAATGATGTCATCTCCCCAGCTCCCGTCAGTGCAAAAGGTAACATTCAATCATGCTCTTCCTAGCTGTACACTTCCTTGTGACACCTCCAGACTTTGTCTCTAAATAAACATATACAAGGTGATGAATGATGCCATGTGGGTGATATCTTACTGGGTTTCTCCCCCGTTTACAGGAGACACACAGATTATTATAAACTTCTTTTTGGAGTTTTCCCCTTGTAAATCTGTTTGATTATTTTCCAGCTAAGCCAGAAAGCTATAGAAAGATTGTCCCCTTCCGCTCCTATAATGCCAAGCAAGTTGTATTACTGGGGCTGGAGAGATACTACAACAGGTAAGGTGCTTGCTTTGCATGCTTCCAATCCTGCTTCAATCCTGGGTACCATGTAGGGTGCCCCAACACCACCAGAAGTGATCCCTGAGCACAGAGTCAGGATTAAGACCTGAGGGGCCAGAGCAATGTAGAGTAGTACAGTGGGTAGGGTGCTTGCCTTGAATGCCTGACTGGATTGAACCCAGAGCTGAGTATGAACCAAAACAAACAAAAAACCCAAAACAGAAGAATAAGCCCTGAGCA